TATTTTCCTCCGATGACCTACCGCTCCGGTGACTACCGTTCTAGTTACTACCGCTCTAGGGATCACTACTGTCCTATTAACCACCACTCCAGTGATTACCGTCCCAATTACTACAACTCCATTTATCATCTCATAGTTATTATCGCTTCAATGATCACTCAGTTACAACCACTAACCGTGACCATCACATTAGTGATCTCACCCGACATAATAACTGCTAGTGCCACAATGACCATCTCACAGTGACTTCGAATGTCTTAGTGACTCGTTGCAACAGTGACCAAGTAAGAGTGACCGTGGACATCTATTGACCAACCTTAGTGATCAAGTCCTATTTACTCCCTCCGTTCTTTTTTAGTTGCAACGGTCAACATTTCACATTTGTCAATGCATGTCTTTGACCGTAATTATATCTTAATTATATTAGTAAAGAAAATATTGAAAATCAGATTTTGAATATTTGTAATGAGATGAATTGAACAATATTTAAAAAATAATAATTTTCATAAAATAATAGCGTAAAATGTAGTCAAAGTAGAGCATGTGAATAATGTAAAATTCAACATGTTGCGATTAAAACAGAACAGAGGATAATATTATACTACACCGGTGGCTCCCACTTTACGGTCTTTCTGGGCGCACCTACAATTTTGCTGGATGCACCAATTATTTGCCATGCGTGGACAATTATAACCTGGGAAAGTTCCCGAAATAGGACTAAAACAATTTCAAAATTCTAAAATAGGACTGTCATGTTTTTTATTTCCAAAATAGGACTAATTACTGTCATGTTTAGAAAATACTGCCATGTTTCAAGTCTTGTACTGCCAAAATATGGCAGTAATTAGTCCTATTTTTGGAATAAAAACATGGCAGTCCTATTTTGGAATTTTCAAACTTTTTAGTCCTATTTCGAGTAATATCTTTTTAACCTCTACCTTTTTTAATTAATTCACCGTTCTACTGCAAGTAAAAACATCCCAAGAATAGCAAGAGCGGCAGGGACAAGAAGGTTGGACCGTTGGACGTTGGAGTTGGATTACTTTTGTCAAACTTTTAATTTCTTTTTTGGGGTGAACCCCACTATAATTAAGAAATACTAGTTAGGATTAAAAATACTATCTTGCCTATTTGATTAGGATAAAAAACCTAATGGAGTAATGAGACTAGGCCGAGAGCCTAATCAGCCCAAATCCCGAACTTGGACCCATGGATCCAAGTCAATATCCTGGAGTCTGCCTGCCAGCCCAGCGGGGAGCCTGCCACTCCGGCCGACCTCCTAGCCCGGAAGAGTAACGGTCAAACAATTAATGCGCTATTAATTCTATATTAATGTTGTAATTAATTAGTCATTATTATCGGTAACGGTTACGATTTGTATACGCCTATAAAAGGCGGGTTGTAATTTAGATTAGGGGAGGTGATTTCTATATGCTATTTCTGGCAACTAAAATCTCCTAGCTACTTTCCATTCTCGTTCTTGCTTTCCTAATTCCTGCTTGAGTGACGTACGTAGCTTTCCGAAAAGCCTACGAGCATCCTATTTTGGACCAACATTGGTGCTTTCATCGAGAGTTTCTTCTGTCTCTCATATCACTCTAGGACGAATCAAGAAAAATACAGATTTTGAACAAAATATGGTGAGATTCATCCCAAAAATACACAAATTCATCACAAACATAGAAATACATCAAAACAGTTTGGGGAAATCCAAAAACCGACCATAAATTCGGATCTGGGTTGCAAAAAAAGCAGGAAAAAGTTCTGGAATTTTCAAGATCTACGCTGGAGATGTTGGTGCTGGCCTCCACTGAGCAGTGCGCTATAGCAGAAGTATTTCACCGGGGCTCACCTACCCGCTCCCGGATCTCGCCGCCGCGGAGTTGCCGCCAGGCGCCGTGACATGAAGCTCGTCGCCGCTGCCCCGGAAGGTTCAGATTTGAAACATTACTGACCGGCACTATCATCGTCGTCCTGGCTGCCGCCAAGCACAGAAGCGCCTACCACTGCCTTGGATCCCACCACCGACGCTGAGGGACCGCAATCCACATCCGCGGCTCCATATCACGACGCCACGCATGGCCATCGTAGCTTGACGATCGCAGCTATCTTGCGTAGGGATGACGGGAACGGCCGAGGTACCTAGCAACCTGCGGACCTGCTAGCCGTCTACAGTCAGGAGACCTGCACCCTTCTGTCTGGAGAACTCAGGGGCGACGAATGTTGAGCCAGGTCTTCCAACGATTTTCACCTTGGGCTGGGAGCTGCCTCTATCATTTTGGCCTATTGTAAATTTTGAGCAGGCCATAACTCAAACAAATTCGAGGGATAAGGCCACCTACACTCCCCATTGGGATTGTAATGAGGCATCTCCCCAACATGGATAAGGGCGGGGATTTTCTAGTCTCGAAGAAGAGCAACCGACTTGGACTACTCCCTCTTAGCTGAGTCTACTACTCGACTTAGGGAGTGGGGGACTCGTGATGAAGTAATGGGACTAGACCGAGAGCCTAATCAGCCCAAGTCCCGAACTTGGACCCATGGATCCAAGTCCATAACCTGGAGCCTGCCTGCCAGCCCAGCGGGGAGCCTGCCAGTCCGGCCGACCTCCTAGCCTGAAAGAGTAATGATCAAACAATCAATGCGCTATTAATTATGTATTTAATTCCGTATTAATGTTGTAATTAATTAGTCATTATTATCGATAACGGTTACGATTTGTATACGCCTATAAAAGGCGGATTGTAATTCAGATTAAGGGAGACGATTTCTATATGCTATTTCTGGCAACTAAACACTTTTAGCTTCTTTCATTATTCGTATTACTTTCCTAATTCCTAATTGAGTGTTCTTACGTAGCTTTCTTAAAAGCCTACGAGCGTCCTATTTTGGATCAACATTACGTACTATCAAAAAATTATTATAAATATTTGCAAAACACCAAAATATTTTTATATAAGAGTTCTCCAATCACATTATTCAATGACAGATAGAAGATTATCACAAAAACAACATGTAGTATTATTCAATTTCACACCCACAAGATATTTAGTAATCTAAATTCATATCAATTGCATTATTAATCCACTATCTTTGTCTCATTTTTACTTTTTTGTTTCTCTCATTAGGATGTTATCGTACAATATTTAGTAATATTATGATTTATTTAATTTTATCTAAGTTATTGTATACTTGTGATTATTAGATTATGAACCCTGTTGGTACCACTGAAACAGGCTGAATTGATTGAATCTGCTCATATTTATTAAACTTTGTTTGAATTGACTGAGTTGATTGAATCTATTGAATTATGGAAAAATTATATTTAAAATATATTTTAATAATAAAATAAAGAAAAATTAATATGAAAAATAGCTAAAATAGTTCTCTACAGTAGCTTTAGTCAATTCAGTCAGAAAAATAAATTTAATCTTACTTATTTTGATTATTACACAATTAAATATGCGAAATCAAAAATTACGTATTTGATAAAAAAAATTGACTGATCAGATTGAAATAGGGATCACCAAACGGGCTCTAATACTTTGTAATTTTTTATTTGTCTAAGTTTAATTTAAGTATTAATAACTATGAACCACAACTCAACTATAAATAACATATTATTAGGCTTGACCGTGTTTATTTTAAATTTAAAATGACATGTAGTATTGCTTTTAAAACCAAGTGGTTCATTCTCAAATTTTTATGCGGGTATGAACTAAAAAGAAAAATCAGGTGAGAGGGCATTTGTGTCTAAAAGAGGTGCATAAAGCAGTACCCCCACTTTATAGTAACAATGACTCCACGGCCTCTGCCCCCATGAACAGTCCTTGCCACAATCCCCAGCAATCCTGTTACCCTGCTCCCCCCCCATCCAAGCCTTGTCCGGGGCCACTCTCCCAAACCTTGCACACCTCCCCTCGTCCAACAACCCTGCTCCCCTAACCATTTTCCACAGTCACTGCCTCAATTTTTCACTCGCCGGTCAACAACGAGCAGTTGCCGCCAACAACGAGCACCAGATGTCTCCGCTGCCGCACATCCTTCCGCCGCTGCCACCTAGTGCTCACCAGACGCCGACGCTGTTGCGCATTCTTCTGCCGCCGCTGCCCTACTATAGCAAATCCGCCACCACTGGATCTCATCTCCTTCTCTTTGCTGGGTTCCTGTAAATTGTTGTCACTAGATTTTTGCTAAATACGGTTCTGAAAATTGAAATTAGGAGTAAGTTTTTGAGAAATTTTACAAAATAGGACTTTTACTTATCAAAATTTCAAAAATAGGACATCCACTTTTGACAAAAGTTTGACAGTTAAAGGAGTTTAGAAAGTTTAAATCGTTTGAATGTAATAACATTTCATTGCATCATGTTGTTATATGGTGGCATTTTAAGTGTGTATGAAGACTATGGTTACATTTTGCGTGAATTAGTTATACTTTATGAATATGCGTTTGTTTGAATTAGAACTTCAGAATGTGACGCATAAATGACAGTTTAGTGAGAATTTAGCAGATCATTTTTAGTTTGTGATGTTGTTATACAACAGAATAGTGCAAAATAAAGAAGTATATGGTGACATTTTGTATGAAAAGTGACATTCCACTAATATGTGGTTATATTGTGGGGTTGTAAGTGTAGCATTACTGTGATGACAGTTTGCATGAAATAGTGACATTTTATGAATATGTCTTAGATTGAACGGAAATTAACACTACATTGAATTGGAAATTGAAAGTCTAACGCATAAATGACAGTTTAGTGAGTTTTTAGTGTGTCATGTTGTTATAAAACAACATAATGCAAAATAGAGAAGAATATGGTGGCATTCTGAATGAAAAGTGAAATTGCAAGAATTATCACAATTTATGGGAAAGTATGAAACTGGCAAACTAATGACTTGAGTAGTTAATATTACCATGTTATTTATGAATATCTTGACTTGAATGACAAAATATTTTACAAATTGATTATAATGCCTATATTTGTGTGAACTTGACAGACAATAACAAGAGCTTTTAAGAAGTCAGTGTTAGTGGACTTGGAAAACTTGCGTGTCAATTCTTACTGCAATGTTGCTGAAGTTCTTAAAAGAATAAGGACATGTCTTAGCACTGAGGAACTGACTGATTTCAGTAACACCATATTTGGTTGGATGTTAAAAATTGAAGATATGTCTTGGAATAGTGGACAACTACTGTTAGGATTTGTTGGAAACTATGTCACTGAAGTTAATGGAAATGCAGATGACAGTGTCATCAGATTTCATATTCAAAACAGTGTAATTAGTTTTCAAAAGGCTGATATGGCAACAATGTGTGGTTTAAAATTTGGGAGTCTGAAGCCAAATATGTCAGAGGAGCCTGAGGGAGATATATGGAGAATATATTTTGGGAACAAGGCTACAGTGTCCCGTGCAGATATCCAAAATGCATTGAAGAGTTATGAGAGCACTGATGAAGGAAGAATGACAAAGGATGGAGTGAAGCTGGCTCTACTACACATATTGTCCTATTGTTTGTTTGGGAATCAAACTGCCAGGCCTATGAAAGCATACTACATAAACCTGGTAAACGATTTGGATGCATTCAATGCTTACCCATGGGGTGATGATGTTTGGAACGAGTTGGTTGACAAAATAAAACAAAGTTGTGAGGCATTAGATAAAGGCAAAGGGGACAAAGTTACATTCCCTGGGTACATGGTGGCTTTACAATGGTGGGCATTTGAGACATTCCCAGGACTTGCAAAAGCTGGTTTGTGCAAGCTAATAAAGGGCAGAGAAAACATCTTACCAAGGACACTGAAGTGGGAATTCAAGAAAAAACCTACACTGGAGGTGCTTTCCCAAATAATATTCAAGAATGACAAGGTATTAGTTTTAATAGTCTAAATATATCTAGATTATAAGGTTACAATTTTTTTACTAACAAAGTGTACTTGTTTAGTTTGAGTGGACACAGATCGTACCAACAGAAGAAGAGATTGCCATGATTGAAGGAAACAATGACAGAGGTGGTCATGGAATGGACATTGTTATTCCAAATGTGGGGAGGCTAGATGCTGAAAAGATGAAAGCTATAGCAGAAAAAGGCAAAAAAAGGCAATACAGACCAGAAGCATGAAAAGGAAAACAAGAAAAGTAGTGAAGGGAAAAGGTAAATCTGGCGAGGGAACTTCTAAAAGAAGAAAGAAGTTTAGGATGGAATTCGAAAGTGATGAGGAAACAAAGAGTGATGAAGGCAATGAGAGTGAGGATGAAGAAGATGATTCAAGTGATAGTGGAAGAAAAGTAGAGAAATATATTATGTTCATGAGCAAACATAGTAACAGTATGCAAAAAAGCATGAGGAAACAAGCTAAGGAGACTGCCAGACTAGTGGCAGAAATGAAAAACATTAAGCAAACTCAGAAAAAGCAGGAAGATCTTTTAAAAGAAGTTCTACTTATTGTCAAACAGATGTCACAAGGCAGTGATAAAGGTGAAGATGAGGACACACGAGAAAGAACAGAGAAAGTTGAAAAGAATGAAAGTCCAGAAAAAAAGAAAATGTTAATGAAAAAGAAGATGATGACATGACTGGGCAAGATTCCTAGAATGATGAGGAACCTAGGCTAAAGGATGATGATACTGCTGACATTCATGTGCAAGAGGAGACTGAGTACATTGCTGCACAGAATGAGGATGATATTTTACAGATTGGGGATGGTGGTGCAAAAAATATGACATGTTTACGAATCATGAATGGATCACTGACAAGGTAAATTCAAAAATGTTATATTTTTGTCAGTCTAACTCCCAAGTGTACATTTATATGTATGTTTGTTTGTATAGAATGCCATTAAAAGTCAGTTGAATTAGTTTGTAATTGATAAATGTGTGTTTTATTTTTTACAGCATGTTGAGGTAGTAATTTACTATTTGGGCATGAAACGGGTGCATTACAAACTGCCACAAAACTACACAACACCTGGGCCTTTTTTCTTGCAAATACTGAAGCGGGGGCTTGACACTATATCAAAGGGGCACTATACATACCACAAGTCAGCACAAGAAGAAAACATTGTTCGTGACATAATAGGTGCGAACAACTATAGCCTACACTGGAGCAAAGCAGACTTCGTGTACTTCCCTCCGAATACTGGCAACCATTGGGTTTTGGTAGTACTAGATATCAAGCAAAGAAAGGTAAGAGTGTACAACTCCAATGCTAGAAGAGGTGATTCACTAAGGGATATCAGGTCCTATGTTGCATGCATAACAGTCCTCCTGCCCAGAATAATGGACTATCACAAAGTGTACGAACAGATGGGTGAGGATCCTATGGGTGAAAGGTTTTTGGAAGTTGAGCCTGTAGAAGGATGTCCACAGCAAGATGATGGGTAAGAGGATATAAATTTGCTTAATCAGATTGTATAATAGTGTACTTTTTTATTTTAAAAATTTCTTTTAATTTTTTGTGTTATGCATCAGGGGAAACTGTGGAATGTTCATGCTCAAGATGGCTGAATTTCTAATGGTGAGGATGGACATGGATGGCATATATCCTGAAGCAATACCCTTGTTTAGGGAAAAAATGGCAACTGAACTGGTCCTATATAGCAAGAGGAGGCAGGGTGAGAGAGAATGAAATGAAGCTATGAAGAAATGGGATTGTAGGATGAAACAATTATGTTTGTTTTGGAAGACTGTTATATTTACTAGTACATTTAATATAATGTCAGGACATCTAGACATCTAGTACATTCGTTTTGAAAAACTTGGTTAACGCAACTTTCATTGTGTTTTGAATGTATGAAATATGCTTTATGACAATGCATTGTGACAATGCATTTTATTGAATTACGTTCAAAAAATCTGTTTGATTTTTACATTAAAGATGACTTTGTGTTAATGCATTCCACAGGGTACTTATATTTATGTAAGCACGGATTTTTACATGAAGAAAATCCGTGATAAATGACATTTGGATGACAGTTTTTAGAAAACAAAATGAGATCAACTTTGAAATCTATCTGTTCAAGGGACGTACGTCCCCTTGGCAAGTTTATCTAGAACATTTTTATAGTAACATGTAGATGGATACTAGGATTGAATTTCATTTACATGCAGTAAATAAATGACAACAAATTGACAAATAACATGACATTTTGTGTAATACAAAATGCCATCAAATGTCACATATGTCATTTATGCATAAACAAAATGACATTACATTATTGAGATGACATTTGGGATAAAAACATTTGGTTAAAGCACAAGTCATAAACACTTAAATGCCAAGAATGGCTAAAGCACAAAACCTTAAACGTTCAAGGAAATGATAACCAAGTCCAAACCACATAGTAGAATTGTTAAAAGTACAAAAAACATAAGACAACATAAAATGAGTGGGCAAATCTACATCACTGGGTATTAATTGGAATTGGATTTCTACAAGTTTTCTTATTATGCCCAAGCACATGGCATCTAGAACATTTTTGACGTTTTGAACCTCTATATTCAAAACGTATGAAATATGTTTTATGACAATGCATTGTGACAATGCATTTTATTGAATTATGTTCAAAAAATCTGTTTGATTTTTACATTGAAGATGACTTTGTGTTAATGCATTCTACATGGTACTTATATATGTAAGCACGGATTGTTACCGAAGAAAATCCGTGATAAATGACATTTGGATGACAGTGTTTAGAAAACAAAATGACATCAACTTTGAAATCTATCTGTTAAAGGGACGTACGTCCCCTTGGCCAGTTTATCTAGAGCAATTTTTATAGTAACATGTAGATGGATACTAGGATTGAATGTCATTTACATGCAGTAAATAAATGACAACAAATTGACAAGTAACATGACATTTTGTGGAATACAAAAGGCCATCAAATGTCACATATGTCATTTATACATAAACAAAATGACATTACATTATTGAGATGACATTTGGGATAAAACATTTGGATAAAGCACAAGTCATAAACACTTAAATGCCAAGAATGGCTAAAGCACAAAACCTTAAACGTTCAAGGAAATGATAACCAAGTCCAAACCACATAGTAGAATTGTTAAAAGTACAAAAAAACAGAAGACAACATAAAATGAGTGGGCAAATCTACATCACTGGGTATTAATTGGAATTGGATTTCTACAAGTTTTCTTATTATGCCCAAGCACATGGCATCTAGAACATTTTTGACGTTTTGAACCTCTATATTCTCCAATGGATGGAATCCTGCATTTCTTAGGGCGACCAGGAGGACGCTTCAAACAACTTGGTGGCTTGCATCTCTGGTTTTTCATAGTAGCAGGAATTGACCAACTGTCAGGATCAGCAATAGGATGCATGATACCAGACCATGTAGCAAGCCAAGCATCTCTTGTGTAATATGGAGATATGTACGTATAACATGAAAGGTGTGGGCGTATACCGATTGCAGCCACATCATGAACACACACAAATTGATCTAATTGAAAGTGGCCGCATGTACAACTTCTAGAGTTGAGGTTTACCACAAAGGACTTGCATCTACTGTCAACAACTTCAAATTCATATGCACATGATGGTTTAACCTGTGAAATAAAAAAAATAAGAATATGAAAGTAGATAAAAAAGAGAATTAGCAAAAGAATATAGCAGTAATATGTGGCTATGAAGTATGTAAAATGTCAACTTATATATGAATATTAAGTAGAAGAGAAATGATAAATAAAAACGCTAGTAAGACTATTTGAATATGAAGTACACAAAATGACAAAATTATAAAGACAAAATGACATATTAACAAACAAAGTGGAATTATAAAAGGAGATGAAAAAATGAAAACCGGTTAATGGTATTCAAAGTCAAAAAATAAGCTTTGACATACCTTCATACGTGTGGATTCAGCTTGCATAGCTACCAGGCGTTTCTCACATTTCTTTGTGAGTATAGTACTTGTTTTCTCAGCTTTATCTTTCCTCTCTGTGAACCATTGCTGCATCCTTTCACGCAAGAAATCAACAAGTTTAGACACAGAATACTCTCTAGCACAGACATTGACTTTGTTCATAGACTCAGCACAATTTGATGGCATAATATTATATCTCTTTGGGCCAGACATTACTTTTGACCATGTGTTAGCACCTAATTTGTCTAGCCAATGCCTTATCCCGGGGTCTTCAGAATCCAACATGGATAAGTAGTCATCATATTCTTTCATAGTTGCTGCCATATAGGCAGCTTTGAACTTCCATCCCAAACCAGCTGCAGATCCTCTGAATTTTGATGTTATGTTACGACCAAGATGAGCAACACAAAAACCGTGGCTAGCATGTGGCAAGAGTTCAGAAACGGCCTTGATAAGCCCTTTATGCCTATCAGATACTACGTACAGGTCATGTCTGTACTTTATTGATTGACAAACTTTGGATAAGAACCATTTCCAAGAAGCTTTAGTTTCAGAACCACAAATACCAAATGCAATAGGAACTATGTGATCATTGGCATCTTGACAACAAGCTGTAAGGAGAGTGCCTTTATAGTAAGCCTTCATGAAAGAACCATCCAATATAAGAACAGGTCTGCAGTAGGGCCAAGCTTCTATCCATGGTTTGAATGACATAAAAAAGGTAGAAAATGCATCATCCTTCCCTGTGACTAGATTAAACATAGAGCCAGGATTTGTTTTCTCAAGCACATAAGCCATTGAAGGCAAAAGCTTATAGGATTCAAGATCAGAACCAAATTGCAGCTGCATTGCTTTCTTCTGTGCTTTCCAAGCTTTGTTGTATGACATGGAAATTCCATACTGCATACTCATGTCCTCACGAATTTGCTTTGGGGGTATGGTTTATTGGAAGCATCAAGGTATTTGTGTGCAATAATATTTGCTATAACACTAGCAGATGCCTGTCTATGTTTGCCTTGTCTGTAATCAATAGAGCATGTGTGAACTGGCCGGAATCTGAAAAGAAAAAATGACATTAGTATACAAATACATAATATGAAGTTGACAGTCCTGTATAAGAATGTCAACACAACATGACATTCTTATAAACCAGAATTTACAATGAAGTGAATTAAAGAAGGAAAATTGAAGTTACCTTCTGATTTGAAACATTGTTACGCCATGTAGTTTTACAGCTCGAACACTCCAACAACATTTTGGATCTAAGCAAATAACATGCAAACATATTTTCTTCGATGTCTTAGTTATGTATTGGAAGTGGTTTGTGATAGCATACATCTTCAGATGGTGGATAAGTTTTTTTTATTTTTGCAAATAGCATGGAGAAGAAGACAAGTAGGATGGGACTGTGTGATGATTTCAAAATTTTGGAGAAATGAGAATGAGTCAGATGATTTAGTTAAAAGGCCATCTGACATATCATCTGACATGTCATCACTGTCTTCAGATGATTCATTTTCTACAGTTGCAGACACAGTGTTACCACAAGAAACAATATCTTCGGATTGGCCACAACTTACCCCAGATAGCATAACATTTTCATATTGACCAAATGGTGGGCCATCATCAAAAGAAAGTGCAGGGGAGGAGGAATGTAGTTGGGCAGAAGAAACAACAACATTCTCATAAGTGGTACGTTGTTGTGAAGCATGGGGAGAAGAAACAACAACATTGTCATCATAAGGGGTATGTTGCTGTGAAGAAATGACAACATTTTCAGACCAAGGAGAAGCAGATGGTCCAACATCAATAGAAAATGCAGGAGAAGATGAAACAAGATAAAACTCAACACAAAGTGGATACAATGAAAAAATTGGTTGAAGAGACTTGATATAAAGATAAAATGTTAAGGTAGATTGATCATTTATAGTAACAGGAGGAGGAAATCCATCTCGTATATAAGAAAGCCTGAAATTATGATTAGCTTTGTACTGAGAAAGGATGTCACTCAAAGAGTTAATAAAAGAAGCATATTGAACATTATAGTTAACATGAAGGCCACATGTGTGGACATTGTTGAACACGTTGTTAGAATCCCAAAAACCGTCAACCTTGACCATAACAAGTAAAATAGGATCCATTGTGGTAAAAAGGTTCCTAAAAAAATGCAGCAAAAGAAATATTTCAGTATGAAAAAAGACAGTTCGGACAAAATAATGACAGTTTTGTTAACAATATGACAGTTTATAAGGATGTGTACCATTGAATGACAGAACATAAAAAGGCGAAATCAAAAAATGCATATACAGGTAGGAACGTAGGACAAACTAAATGACAGTTTGGACAAAATTATGACAGTTGTGTTAACAATATGACAGTTTATAAGAATGTGTACCAATTATATACAATTACAGAACATAAAAAGGAGAAATAAAAAAATGCATATACATGACAGTTCGAACAAACTAAATGACAGTTCGAAGGGCATAATTTAGGTAGAAGAATAGAGAATTTAACAAAAACAAAATAAGTTGTAGATACAAACTGATATCTAAACTAGCGGATGAAATTTAATGAAATAAAACAGAGTACAACTACATACGAAATAAATTGTTGATTATAATGAATTTGAAAGCGATCATATGATGAAAGGATCGATAATATGAAATTGAAGAAAAAAACAGAGCTGGAAGGAAAAAACAGAAGGCAATTGCGAATTCAATGTAACAACGATTGAAGAAGAATTGACGAACGAAAACAGAATCACAGCCAGTATTATGAAAGCTTTAAATTTGAGTAAACATACTCTGCAAAGAACGAAACACAGGCAGCTATGACCTCGTACTCCAAGAGAAATCCATGGCAAAAGAATGCAGGAAAAAGAATGCAGAATTGACGAACAAGGAAACTACTCAGATAAGGAAACTACTCAACCTGAACAAGGAAACGGAAACTCCTTAACCGTTTGAAACTGGATAACCGAAAAAGGCCGGTAAATTTCTTAACTTCGAATAGGGGTATTTAGGATATTTCCTAAAGTAGTAAAACGTAAGATAGGACCGTATAAGTCCTATTAACGAGAGAAAACTTGGTAAGTCCTAATATGAGTTTTTTAGCATGTTTAAGTCCTATTATGGCTAATTTATTTAAGTTTTTTGTTGATTGGATTGAGCCGATTGAGTTTAATTTGCTACTGAGATTGCCAGGGGTGGAGGATTGCGGGCAAAGGTCAGCGTCTATTTCGAGAGTCTCGAGACTTGGAAGGAAGCTAGTCAAACTTGGACGCGAATCGATGTTGATGATGGGGGCTAGTGGGACACTGGGACAATTACCCGTTTCTGGAGCAGTGGTGGTGTATGGTGGGGCAGTGGTGGTGTGAGGTGGGGACAGAGGCATTGCGATGGTTGGGGAGGCGGGCAAGGGTGGGGCAAGCGGGTATTGTGGGAGGTTGGGCAGGATATGTACAAACTGTCGTGGCAGCAACGACAATCACCGTCGCGAAGGCTACAGAGCTGGCGGGGCAAGACTGTGATGTTGGTTGTGGGGGTGATGTTTGTGGGTGGAGATGTTTGAAATTAGGTCATTGAGGCGATTGTAGCGTAAATGATATTGAGAAGGAAGAGCTAGGACGGCGGAACGATTGAAAATTGTGTCACCGAAGCGGTAGTAATTATGACGTCGGTAACTGGAGAGGTAGTAACTGGGACAATGGTCACCGGAGCGGAAGTAGCTGAGACAGTGTCACTAGGGTGATAGTAACTGAGACGGTGTCACTAGAGCAGTAGTAATTGAGACGGTGTCACTGGAGCGATAGTAGTAACTGAGACGTGATCACCGGAGCGGTAATAGTAACTGAGACATTGTCACTAGGGTGATAGTAACTGAGACGATGTCAATAGAGCAGTAGTAACTGAGACGTTGTCACTGGAGCGATAGTAGTAACTGAGATGGTGATCACTATAGTGATAGTAGTAACTGAGACGGTGGTCACTGGTGCGATAGTAGTAACTGAGACGGTAATTATTCAGATACTTGTCACGCAATTTTCATATCTGAATTTCTATCTTCAAAAATAAAATTAAAATAAGAAACATTGATTTTACTTATTAAAGTGTATTAGTGTGCATGATTACGGATGACATTAAAATTTTGCAATAATATTAAATTAAAAAGCATTAATTGTATTGGGTGTGTTGTTACTTGTTAAGCATCTGGGGCGCACTCTAATTCATATAGTTCATCATTCGAAGGTAGTTGCTGAGATGACGTGCTCAAGTTAGGTGCCTTGGAGTGTTTCCAATTTTATGACCCGCTATGTCTCTTTTTTGTCTTTTTATATAATTGCTCACTTATGGGGAATTGGGCCTTGTGATAGTAATAATATTAATGTCCTTTCCCCATATCGTAAATGGCGCTGGAAGAAAAACTAATGTCCGACATGTTGTTGGGCTTTTTGAAGTTGAGAAGGTTATATTGGTAAATTGAGTTCAAAACGTGCCTCTTTTTTGGAAGAGTGAAAATCAATCCTATTTTAGTCATTAGGTCTTCCGTAGGTAACATACATGTCATCATTCCTCTTTTCAATATTGATATTCCCGACAATCTATCATGTTAATTTTTTTTTGTTTTATGAAAGGAAAGAACTTATATTAGAACCAAAAGAGTCATTACATCAATCGAGATCCAAAACCAAGTACTCCCACTATACCCACAATACCAAAAGCCCATCGGCCCCCTCACATCATGCTCTGACATAGAATAGACCATCCCAATAAGAGCGAGACTAATCGCTGAAACGGTGAGAGCAAAGAAGCTATTAACGGCTGTGACAGCTTGATTGCCTCCATCAAGAAAAAGTCTGCTCAGAAAAAAACAACCTACCATACCCACACCCTTATTGTAAGTGAAAATAAAAAACCAACAGACAACTGAGTTCTGAAATAGAAAAAAGTGCAACAAAAATAACTTTCCAGGTGATGGATGCTGTAAACTTCCATCCCTTGTGCCTTCCCCAGCTCATCTTCTATTTGCCTGACAGACGGGCATTGTAGCTCGCCCCTCCCCGTTTTTTGTTATGCTCGTCTCCACGTCCATATTCTTATGTGTTGCTTTATGTTCCTCATGGTCCACACGTCTGCGCTTCTGCTCCACCTTATCTCCTGACTGAACATGGTCCTTTTCCTGTTGCAGTCTACCATCTGCATCCGAACTAGTGATCCCTAATACCTCTTCTTCGTCTTTTCATTTTCCTTTCCCAACTGGAACTAGCCATTTGTTACCCCCCCCCCCCCCCCAGATGTGTTTCCTTTTGAAGCTCTTAGTTCGGGTCCAAAGCGAAAGCCTCCACTCTTGCCCTTGCCATCAGGGTAATACGGACAGAACCTTTCTGCATGGCCTATAACTCCGCAGGCAAAACAAAAACTAGGCAGTTTTTCATATCTAAATTTAACGCAAAAACTTTCCCCTTTGTCTGATTGGAGAAACAGTTTCCTTTTCAGCGGCCTGTTCAGGTCAATACTAACCCTTACTCTCATATAGGGGTTCCATTCCACAGAGAAATTCTGTTCATCCACCTTGATAAAACTCCCTACAAAATTCCCAATTTTTATAGCATTTTCAACTGGAAAAAATCCCATTGGTACGCCATGAACTTGTAACCAGAAGTCAACCTTATTCAACGGAATCTGCAAAACAGATCACATTGCTTTAACCTAGCAAGCACAATTAGATTCTGGTCGAAAGTCCACTGCCCTTCCTCTAACCCACGTATCATATCATTTTCATTATAAAATTGAAACATGTATCTCCATGCACCTATCTCAGTAATAGTAACACATCTAGTAGGCTTCCGCACATTGGCCATAGTGTCACGGAAAAAAGAAAAATGTACCGACTTTTCAGAAGTGACTGTTCCAACCAAGGTCGGCCCTACCTCCACGATCTTTGATGTTTTAGCTGCCACGAGTATGGCTTCATCTTCCTCCTCCATCTCCATTCTTCCATATGCATTTACTACTTACTAGCCTATTTATCTCCCCCATCTCATTAACGTCGCCCATATTGGATTGGCTTCCTTCACGAAACCTGTATCAAACGAACCAGGCTACAATCCTCAACCCTGTAAAGTTCAGCGCCTTGCTTGTTCGCTGTAGGAAGAAGAGGCAAATTGGTCTAAACTAGAAGCTACGTCGATCGTTGAGCGATTAGGTCGCCGACCCCAAGTTCCGCAGACCCTAGCTGCGCCGTTTTATAAAATCATAACTTGCACTTAATTCATGTTAATAAATTTTATTCAACATACTTTTTAAATATCATATTGATGAAACATTAATTAAATTATTTTAAGCAACTTTTTCTTTAATTTTTTTCTGGGTAAATATAAAATACATAAATGCACACCAATGCAATCATATATCGATTTAGGATTAAATGTAGTACATCCATTTGAACTAGCTTTAATGATATTGTACGATACTTAAACTAACTTAAAGGGCTACAACTTCAACGGATCAACCAAAGTTTTGGAGATGTAATATCAGAAATTGCTAGAATGTACCTGCACAATTGTACCGTTTTCATGTAATGTTAACAGCATCTTTTCTAGACTTACATGTAAATTTGAATTTAGTTCACAACATTTTCATTGTCATTTAGGAATACATTCATCGATGAGCTATTCAAAATAAAAAGTTCATTTTTTGTTTTTTTTCTTAAAATAAATTACTTGAATGCTTACCTCTTATATTTACGAAACAATTATTACCTATCTAGGAGGATATTATTCTGAGTCTACACGAATTTTGATACCCTGTATACTATCTCTCATATTCTTGAGCATCTAAATGTATCTTTATATTCAGAAAATATTTTAGGAGATTCAAAATCATTTGATTAATATTTCTTGCAAAATAAGCAGTGTGATATCCCCATTCATGGGTAGTCCTCGAATATGTTCAAAGATCTCAAGATGATCTTATTCATTTGACTTTTATTATTTAATTGTCTTAATTATCAATTGCTCCTTTACATTGATCACCAACTACACAACGAATCATATAGTTTTATAAACACATACATATTTAAGAATATGCAACATAAAATTTAGTTGTTTTTATCCATTAATGTAATACATAAAATAGAACATCATTTACAATTAGGATTGATTATCGTGTGCATACTGTTTATTGTGTATATACATATCAATATAATGTGTACTTTCATTTTTAACCTTCAATTATCTCATGTTCCTCTATTGATGTCATCTCGTATATATGTTATGCACTAAAGATGGTAGAAGGGCTGTTTTAGTATTGGTGTGTTGGGGAGAAACACCATCTTTTACACCAGAAACGCTACTACTTGTAGTGTCTTGGGCAGAAAAGGCTGAAAAACAAACAATCCCAAACTTCAGTTACGAATACAATGTGAGTTTTTTCCATTTTTGGTCCCCCCACTGTTGTGTCAGTTACACTTTTGGTACTCGACTTCTAATTTTTCCATTTTTAGTCCTCAACTATTGTGCTGAAGACACTTTTAGTCCTTGACTTCAAAGTTTCCCACATTTAGTCCCTTGAGCATTATTAAGTTGACACTTTTAGTCCTTCCACTATGATTTTGACACAACAAGTGGGGGACTAAAAATGTTACTAATATAATAATTGAAAGACCAAAAGTGTCACTTCCATGATTTCGATGATGAACATTACTTATAAGCTTCACTTCACTTTCAAAATCTTTTTCTGTGTCTTTAGATTGACCTATATCCAATTTCTTGATAGCTACTACCTTCCCATTTTCTAGGGTACCCTGTTTCATACATTAATTATGAATTAAAGATATAGTAAAAAACAAAACATAAGCTGATTGGAGCATCAAAATTGCTCTGATATATGACATCAATCAATTATAGTAATGAAAATAATGTTTAGAAACAAGGATTACCTTGTACACATCACAAGAGTCTCTTTCTCCTAGTTTATTTTCTTGACTAAAACTTTTTGTCGCTGCCTTTAGATCTCCATATCTATAGTTAATTGGACCTTTTAACTCAGTTGCTGCCAAAATATCACCTGTAAGGAAATTCGCAGTAAATTCTCATGAAATAAAAATAAGACAAATTTTCTCGTTAAATCTACCTTAGGATTATTGGCTTAATATATCTCAAACTAGATAAACAATTGTATAAACTAGAGCAATGTAGCCGTTTGAAATTGAATTTGGGAATGTACATAAATGCATTTTCCTAGTTAGATCACTTCTATGGCTTACCTCTATGAACTCTTTTGGATGAGTTCGATCGTTGCCTATACAAAGAAAATATTGCAAGGAGAATCAAAATAAATGATGCACCTCCAACAACTCCACCAATAATGGCCTTCTTCTTGTTTGAATGTCCTACAACAAAAAAGTCATGTTGTCCCAAACCAATAAGTTTATGTATTTAGCCCAACCTCTTTAAATGGTTATTTATTATATTAAGATCTCAATATGAGGACTAATCATAATCTTATATATTAGTTTATTATTTTGCATATTACTCCCTTTTTCCGATCCTGAATTGATTTGCAATTTGTATCAATTTGCAACTTAAGGTTGACACATTTTAAAGTTTAAAGTTTATTTTTATATATTTAGAAACAACATTAAAAGTTCTATTAAACTGCAACAACCAAAACCGAGTTCCATAGAAGTAGTATGCTCAAAATCATAGAAAAAACAATAACCGTGTTGACAAGCGAATCATTTAATGACAGGGGAATTGAAATAGTTTGTTATTTTATATCAAATCAGTGTGAGATAAACAATTCAAGTTAATATTTCACAACATGCATATGTACTACACACCTTGTTGCAAAAATTGGTAGACATCAATAGTTTGATTATCAGCAAAGAAGGGAGTGGTGGAATATCTCATGAAGCAGCCAAAGTCAAAGGTCTTTGCATTTGAGTTTGGAAGACAGAGCTGAAAATTTCTTAAGGCAATTTTCAAGCAATCTTGGCAGCCTGTTTGAGAGAGAGTCTCAACACATTGAGCAAAGGCATAAATGTTTGAAGATGTGTTGTGGCGGCTGTCGTTAGGAACTGGCGTCTTGGTGGCCGCAAAGAAACCAGTGATTCTCGGTGTTACTATGTCCAGATTTGTTAGCACTTGTTGAACGGTAGAAGCAAGTTGAGTGGAGTTCTTTACTTCATTCCCACATACAACATTGTTTGCGGGGTATGTATTCTGGTCAAAAAAGGTAGTGCTCTCGTATCTGTTTCAACAAATATTAGTGAGCTCTCTACTCTCATTATTGTCTTTATTAATAAGAAACAACTTTAACTTTCACACACACTTAAGAAATGATTGAATATATTTACAATAATCTTTAGTTTCTTAATATGTTTTTGAACGTTTATATGGTAAAGTAGTCACCTGGCCATTGAAAATATTAAACTATAAATATATCTCTTTTTCCCCGAGAAGCGGATAGACAATTGTAGCTAGAGCAACTAACATTGGGGTTCTTTGTTGTTCAGAGTTTTGAGATTAGATTAGTACAATAAAGTGTGAAGTACTAAAACCGTGTGTAGCATTTATTTCATCTCACAATTAGATTCATGATTTGACTTTTTGAGTCAAACATTGTCAATTTTGACAACTAAATGGTAAGTACTGAAAGTCTTGGTCGAGTAGTATTTAGAAATGGTATACTACTATGTGTTATAAGTATGTATTCTAAAATATCAGAAGTTAAACTTTGACTTTGAAGGTTTTGAAAGTCAAGCTTCAACTTTAAATATTGTTTTTCATATATATAAGTTAAATTCTACAGTATTGTACATTATTCGCATGTGTCAATTAGAATGTTATAGTTAGGTAGTTTAAACATGAATGCATGGTGAAATATTACATCAAACAATCATATATCCAATGTAAATATGGTAGCCTAATTTATCTGGGCATACTATAACACACATTTTACACATAATTCAACACTTCATATAAGAACATAAATTATATATGTGAGCTTTATATCAAATTAAAGATTATAAAATACGCTATACTCTCGTCCCACAAAATTTTGATAATTTTTCTTATTCATTCGTCCTAAAAACTCTATTATTACTATTTAAAATAAGAAATGTGTGGTAACATTACCCTCTCCGCCTCACTAAACTTTATTAGTTTTACTTAATGATTTAATCATCCAAAAAAATCATTTTCTTTTAATAGAAATTACTCAACATATGACCCAAACATATACAAAGTTCAAAACGAGAACTAAATATGTTATATTTCCCAAATAAGACTTGTTTAGTCGTATTACAAGAATAAGTTGATTAAGAGCCCGTTTGGTAACACTGGAATTGGTTGAATCAGTTGATTCTGCTGAAATTTAGGAAGTTCTGGTTCAAGTGGTTGGATTGGCAGATTATGCTAATTTATGAAACAATTATATTTAAAATATTTTTCATCAATAAAATAAAGAAAAATTATATGAAAAATAGCTATTATTATTCTCTACAATAACTTCAACCTATACAACAACAAAAAAGTAACTCCAACCTTCATTTTTCTTATTATTACACAATTTAGCGCATAAAATCAAAAGTTACGTGTTTAGTGAAAAACTTGACTAGTAAGCTGAAAAACATGATCACCAAACGGGCTCTAAATTTTCCAAAATAGGAGTGAATGAGCTTAATGAAAAACAATCATATTAATCTTATAATCTACTAGTAATCCTATTTATGGAATTCTCTATTTCATTTAAAATAATAAACGTGTGGTTATAATTATTTTTCTCCTCTTTACGAATAACTACTACACAGTTTTTGCCATATTATTTTCATGCAAGTCAACTTTGATTAAGTTTTAAAACATCGAAAGAGTATGTCTTTTACTACGTAGTACTCACCTACAAGTCAACTTTGTCTAAATTTTACAGGATAAGAAATACTATGTTCATCCCACTAACATTTGAATATGAGGAGGTGCTATAGTTATTAAGAAAATACTCCGCACATTTTTATGATTGATATTAAATTGATAAAATAAAAATAAAAATAAAGAAAGAGTGAATTAGAACCATACGAAGTGAGTAAGAGTAGTTTATAACTACACAAACTTTATGTTATAATCTTAGTGGGAAGTACCACATATAAGACAACAAAAGATCCATTGGCAAAAAATGAGTTCAATGAATAATGACTAAGATTGGTAAAAATCTTACTCCGTCCATCCCAAAATGAAGTTCCTAATTTGACTTCATGAATTTTTTGGTAGAATAGGAAATAAATTGGCTTTTTAAAGATGTCCTTGAGTAATTAAATGTGCACTATCCGAATGAGTATCATAAAGGGGTAATGAATAGTAAAATAATGATAACGTACATCAATTGAATGAAGTGATATGAGAAGTTGAAATGAAAACTTTATTTTAGGACATTCTAAAAGGAAAAGTAGAACTTCAATTTGGAACAGATGGAGTAGTAAAAAACTCTTCACTGTACCTAAACGGCTAAACTTATTTTGTTTGTCCATATAAAACAAACAAGAGATATTACCCAAAATATGACGAAAACATTGAAAATTTCAAAATAGGACTTTTATGTTTTTTATTCCTAAAATAGGACTAATTAACGCCATGTTTTGGTAGTACCGAACTTCAAACATGGCAGTATTTTCTAAACATGACAGTAATTAGTCCTATTTTGAGAATAAAAAACATGACAATCTTATTTTGGAATTTTGAAACTGTTTTAATTATATTTAGGGAATTTTTCCAACAAACAACCGTACAACATTGAAGTAAAAATGTGAATGCAGACGGCGGCGGGATTCATTGGTAAAAATGCAATTAAGCGTTTCGGTGGGCGTACATTTACCTTAAAAAGCAGCCATCAAATATGACGTGGGCTCCGTTGGAGACGGCGGAGCAGTTCCTGCGCAACTGAATGACGGCGAGGTCAAAGCAAGCAAGGCAGTCGTTGACCGCGAGGTAGTTTCTGCACTGAAACAGGGCAAAGGCAGGGCTGCTCCCCTTCAACTCCTGTCCCGTGGCGAAGTGGTGATTACTGCTTTGGTTCCCAATCTGAGCTCTCAGATTTTGATAAGTTGCGTTTAGGTTCTGGCGGAAGACGGTGACGCCGGTGACGTTGATTATGCTGCACCCCATCGTCACTAGGTTCGTCTGCGGCTCCGCCGCCACGCCGCCGCCCCACCATGACCACCAGATTATGAAGCTCACCAAGAACATGGGTGTTTGCCTCATGTACAACACCATGGCGTTAGCTTTTCTGATTCGCAGCTTACAGAAATTATAGAAAAAGAGGATGGTGAAGAGTGAAGACTTAAGAAAAGGAATTGAAAAAAAAAATTGATTTTATCTTGGTTTTTTGTGGGGCCTTGGGAATTAGTCATAGAGTATAAATAGAGGGAATTGTTTATCCTAAATTGTTTTCTATAAGTGCATTTTTTGTTATATACTATCCATCCCTTCTGTTTTAATCGCAACATGTTGAATTTTACATTATTTACATGCTCTATTTTGATTACATTTTACGTTATTATATTATTTTATTAAAATTATTTTTTTAAAAAAATATTATTAAATTCATCTCATTAAAAATTTTCAAAATCTGATTTTTAATATATTTTTTACTAATAGAATTACGAAGTAAGATATACTTCGTAATTACGATCAAAGACGTGCATTTGCAAATGTGAAATGTTGACCGTTGCAACTAAAAAAGAACGGAGGGAGTATGTTGTCACACATACTGACATACGGTTTATGAAACAACATTCGGTGATAACCTAGAAATCCTTTTGCAAACAATTGAGGATACTCATGTCAAATCCTCTTGTAAAGGTTGAGGTAATGAGGATAACCTTTAAATTGTTTTTCTATTTTGGTACTTTCTTTTACTTTAGAAGAGACAAAGACTTACAATGTTTTGACTCAAATTAGATCGATCATACTTGAGTCAAAAATGATGTTTGTACTTACTCTTATATACCCACTACTGTACCCATTCATGTTTGTGAAAACTTTTTTTATCTGTGAACATCGATTCACAACAATATTTTGCACAAACAAAATATTGTCAGTGAACCAGGTTCACAGACAAAAAAAGCTTCACAAACATGGAGAGTATAAAGTGGGTATAAGGGTAGGTACATCAAATGTTGTACTTGAGCCTACTTAAAAAGACCAAATTAGATGAATCAGAATATTCTTAAACGTATCAGAACATATTAGAACGCCATAAATAGACTAGACCAAATAAAATAAAACCCACCGGATTCACGTGACAAGACTTAGGCCTTGTTTGGTTCAAAGGAGGGAAGGGAAGAGTCAAGGAGGGAAGGGAAAGGAAGGGGAAGGAAGGATTTTGATAAAAATTTGTGTTTGATTGGAGGAAATAGGAGGAAAGATTTAATGAAAATGTTTTCTCAATTTACTTTTATTTGATAGTTTACTTAAAAAAAAGATACATGTCTAACCATTATGAATATTACTCCTATGGTCATGAGTCATAATTTTATTTTACTTGATTTTTTACTTTTTTAATTTTATAATTTTTCATTTTTCAGTTTGGAATTTTTAATTTTTAATTTTTATTTTTTAAATTTTTTAATTTTTAATTTTTAAAATTTTTTACTTTATAATTTTTTAATTTTTTAATTTTAAATTTTTTAATTTTTTAATTTTTAATTTTTTTAATCTTTAAATTTTTAATTTTTTTTTAATTTTTTCAAAACTTTTTGTTTTTTACCTTTTTATATTATAACGTTTTGTTCATTCACATATGAAATGGATAGTTTGTGATTATCAACATGTTTCCTCCGAAATACCCGGATTTGGAGGATTTAGAATGGAAGGAAGTGGAGGAGTTTGAAAGCTTTCCACTCCCCCCCATTTCCTTCACCCAAACACACACAAATCCCCCACTTTTCTCCCCTCCTTTCCCAAACCCTCCAATCAAACAGGGCCTTAAGCAACAGTGGTATACACACAATACCGTATATATCACCTTGAATTAATTAAACAATATCGTGATATACACACTATACTAGACCTAATAGACTAGAGCAAGCCAATTAGACAAAACTTAAATAAAACACCACAATTGAATAGTCTAGACCAGCTATAAGATTGGATCATAAAATTTTATGAGTGAAAGCATAATTCAAAAACCAAAGGAGATACTTTGGGGTATTGGATGGGTCAAATTTTGTTCACCCCACTAAAGAGGGTGACCATCACTCCCTCCCTCCAATGCATGCATGCAACTTGGCATTACAATTCATTTTTTGCTTAAAATTTTATATTATAACTTTCTTACAAAAAAGTTAATAATCTAATTTTCACAAAAAAAAATATCAGATTAAATAACTTTTTATGATCTTTTCAATGTATTCATATTGCATATAAAAAATTTGGAAAAAAGAACCCTTTTTCAATCTTTTTAGCCGGATTTTTTCTATTTTACATATGCAATATAAGTACCATATGAAAGATCATAAAAAAATAAAATACAGATATTTTTTTGAAAAAAATTGAATCAAAAATGAAAAAGTTATAACAATTGCAAAATTAAAATGAATTATCATGCCATGTGGCAACCCAATAGGGTGGGATGATGTTCACCCTCTTTTAGGGGTGAACAAAATTGTTCTATCGGATGTAGGGTTAGTTGATGTAGGGTGTTATCTTTTGGACTGTTTTCAATCTCAGACTAGACCAGACTTTCATAGTTATAGGATACGTTGAGATCAAACATTTCCAACCAGATCAGAACAGATAAGCAAATTTCAGTCCAAAAGAAAACATCATTACTCTGTCTGTTCAATTTGGACTCTATTATGATTTGTTTATGATACATTTAGTTCACTGTCTTTCATTTAGTAATACTACTACTAATGTTAATGATGGTCCTTAGCCATAGCCGTTATAGTACTAGTGTACTACTATAAATATGGTTATTATTAAATTCATGTATGTTCGCAATTGTTTTTTGATTGGTAAATTAGATTCTTTAATAATTATCTAACAAGTAACAACAGTTAACTAAAAGATTCACACAAAAGGCATGCTAAACTTTTAAATGTGAATATCTACCAAAAAAATAATGAAAAGTATGTTTTCCATTTTGGCAAACATATATAAAAATATAAAAGTCTGCAGATTTCAAAGACTTGGTAATAGTTCTTTTTGTGGTCATAGTTGTTTGATCTTAGACGTAGTATATGTCTACTAGTAATCCAAATGAGAATAATCACATCATAATTATTGGATGCATAATGCATTAATTTAATGTTAGTGGCTCTTGGCTTCATTATATTAATAATTGATTGATAGCTCTGAAATGTGTATCCAATTTCTTGGTCGCCCCGGTAACGGTAGGTGAGTACGTATCCGGTCTTTAATGAAGTCAACACTAAACTCTAAAGTTTAGGGAAAGAATGAGACAGCAGTTTGGAGCCCGCCAAGTCGCCAACGTCAATTTTGAATGCTGTAGACCTCACGACTCAGTCAACGCATGTCCTATTATTGAAGTTACTAGAAAAGATTAGGCATGGCGATGGGTGGCCGATAGTGCAAGACCCAGAACCACCCAACGTCATTACCCGCACGGATCCAAATTTGTTGACTCATGCTCTGCCCAATGCGGGTTGAGTCCGTCCCGCTTCGCCGTAACCGAATTAGTTAATATGCATTTTAATTTGTGTAAAATTGTTACCACTTAAATCTACATAAAATTTATTTTTAAATAATTATTAAAAAGATAATATATCAAATCAAAATCAAAATGCGCTAAAAATTTCAAAAATTAAGAAAAAAATACTTAGACTTGAATAGTCAATCTATTTATATTAATAATAGAATATATAAATTAAAATGTTATATAAGACATTGATAATTCGCCACTCATCTCATTCAAATACACTTCGTATATATTAATATATTATAAGATCAAAGAACTTATAATTTATTATATAAGCACATATGTATATAGCACTATATTTGTAGTATGATTTTAAAAAGTATGTGTACTTATATATTGAACGGGGTGGGGCGGGGCGGCACGGGTCAATACTAATACCCGGATCCGCCCCATTGTATGGGCGGGGCGTACCCGTCCCATTTGCAAGACGGGCCAGACTGGACCCGCACCAAATATCTCAGGCCAGAACGGGTAATTGCAGGTCGGTTTTTTGACATGTCTAGAAAAGATGACACCACATCTTTGAGGGTCCCACCATAGACCAAATAGTCAATCGATGATATAAATTGAACATTAACCACAAATTGATAGATAACAAGTGGGGCTCTCACACAAGTACTCAAAAAGATGTTATGATTGTAATACTAGTTGTAATTTCTATTTATTACTTTATCTTTCAAGTTAGATCATTTATATTCACCCGTTACTCACCTGATCCACTCGATACCCCACTCATGATGGATGCGTTGGTGAAATATGAAAAATTAACGACTGGACGTGGATGAGCCTCACACGGTATAAATCTGACTCACTGCCACCCTTAGACGTAATCAAAATTCGAACCTGAGACATACCCCTTGTGACACCCCTTATCTATCAGTTGAGTTATGCTCACCGGCATCATTGAAGGTTCTAATAATGGGAAATAAGTAGAAGAAATGCACTAACAAACACTACAAAAAGAACACAAGATTGACATTGATTTCTGGCAGGGATTCGCCGAAATTTATAGAGAATTTGGCACGGATATGCCAAATTCATGGATTTGGCAGGGATATGCCAAAAACAATTTGACAAGAGCTATTTGCCAAGAAAAATATCAGAAAATTCATGTCAAATTTGTGTCAATCTCGTAATTTTTTGTAGTGAAAGGTCTTGCTATAATCACTGATGGATAGTGTACTCGAGGGGGTAGCTTATCCGAGGGTTATCGCAGAGAATAACTAGAGAGAAGTTAGAGCAAACAAGCAAGAGAGAGAGTCAAAATATATTAAATGAACTCAGCGTGTTTTTACAAGGTGAATAAGGGCTGCTATTCATAGTAGCCATAAATGCGATGAGAGTACACGTGTCAACAATCTAACGATCGAGGAGTCATCTCAATCGGGGTGGCACCGGCATACGTAAGTGCACCGCATTAAATGCGATGGGTGGATGTGACGTCGCATTAAATGCGATGGTTGTCTGTCCTCTAAGGGAATCTTCGACGATTACGCTGTTGCCGAAGGCTCCGTGTACCCGAAGGCTACCCTTATTGTAATACCCAAGATTAATTTAAGAGGATTAATAGTACTACTCATACCAACATAGGTGCATCTCCTTTTAAGGGAGGTCATCACCCAAGAACTCCAAAGTTAAGCGTGCTTGCACGGGAGTAGTCTTGGGATGGGTGACCCCCTGGGAAGTTTCTCAGGGCGCGCATGAGTGAGGACAAAGTGCGCTGTAAAAGCTCGTGGTGGTTTGTGGGGACAGTACTAGAGGTCTAGAGTAACTACCTCGGCGTCTTGCAGGGCCCAGGGTGTTACACTTATGTCGAGGGCACCTAGGGGTCGAAGGCTCCCAATCTCTGTCATTTTCTCCCAGCAGCTTTGTATGCTTAAAATCAGTTGTCTCCTGTAGTTTAGGGCCTTCGGGTATGGTGCCGAAGGCGTCCTTAAGCGCACCGTGGTTTCTTTAGACCTTGGGCAGCGGTGTTTTGGGCCTCATGCGCTTCTTAGGCCTGTTGGGCCTGTGCTGGAGTAGTAGGAGTCTGTGGGCCAGGGGTCCCCGGGCCATACAATCCATCAATCACATTAATCTCAATATTTACTACTGGTTCTTCTACAAGGTTGAATCTCCAACTTCAAGTCCCGACCCAATAGAACATATTAGAGGTTGTAAATTACGATGGCTCAATCAGTTATAGCGGTGGTATATCTTATACTCGTGCACACTAAAAGTTCAGGCGAGCATACGGAAATTGTGATCTCCACACATGGCCGTTGCGGGTTTTGAATCTTGGTCATTCATCCAAACTTCACACCACTTTATCGGTTAAGCTACCCATGCAGTTTAATATTTAGTACTCCCTCTGTCGCATAAATTAAAATTCTTCCCTATTTAACTTAGATCAGAGTTTAAGAAAGTGAGAATAAAACGAAATTGTATGATTGTGGTTGAGTAAGATAGGTAAATGAATGTTAGTCACACAAAACTTTTCAAAAAAGAAAATGAGAACAACTTTATGAAAAAGAGTTGGCTACACCTTTCCGGGTTCATCTCCGTGCTGGGGGGGGGGGGGGGGGGGAGCTCGGCCGATGAGGGTCAATAAATGGCTAGTTAATGAAGGTGCTCCAAGTGGAAGTGGGTTGAGTCAGAAGGTTAACCGCCAGAGTGCAACAAGCGGCATAGAGGAGGTAGACAGGCCAGAGGTGCAACATGGGATAACTACTGTGGTGGAAGCTCGTATGAAGGAAGGGATGGAGGACGAATCAACTGACATGGAGGGCTTTTCAGGGGAGCAGAAACGCAGAAGAACTTGAGAGGAGAAGAACCATTAGGATGGTGAAGAGGACAATATGGCTGTGAACCTCTCAAAAATGGAGCAGGGGCGGGTCTAGGTATATAGACCCGCCTAAGGAAGGGAGATTGTCCCAGGATATGGGGGATCGAAGACTGTTGGTCAGTTGCGTGTGGATGTAGTTGAATTCTCACTACTTTATGTTCTTTATCTTTTTTTTTATCAGACTGTCATTGTTGCTTTTGCTACATTTTTTCAGTCAAATTCTTGCTTTAGGTTTGGGTGACGAGGGGTTTCCTCTAACCACGTTAGGCTCATTTAGAATCATTATAGGATCAGCGAGCCATATTGCTTTTTCCAGGGTGATTGGCTCTAAGTCTGATTCGAGGGTCGGTGGTTGGAAATGGTCCTTTTACCGCTTTTGTCCAAAAAAAACCATTTAACTGTTACAATGAAGTTTCAAAATTAAGAAAGATCTCCTTAGCCTAAATCTAAAAAGTGAAATTGTCCACCTTAGGCGCCTCACACTCCAACCCGATATATAGAATGATGGAGGGATCTCCTTCATCTTCATTCAACTTTAGGTGTGTAAAGTTTTAGAGCAAAAGTTCTTCTACATGGATATAAACAAGAGAGAAGTAATGAAGAAGGAAATAAAATACACTCAATCAAAAATACAAGATCAAACCTAGAAATGTGAATATACTATGTAATATATAGTCCCATAATAATCTGGTCGAGGCTCGGAGCTGTTAAGTTATTATATAGTTTTTATATTTTATTTTGAATACATAGAGTTCAATTCATATCAAGCTAGTCTAGGGCTCTAGGCATCGCACGCTTAAGCAATTCGAGATGTAAGATGCCACTTAATTAAAAGTTTCACACACCTATAAGACGAGGAAGAAGGGAGAAGGGACACAGATTAATTTAAACTTTAAAACACTTGATTACGACATAAAAATAATTAAACAAGAAAAAATCCTATACTAACAAAAAGGATTATTTATACAAAAAAAAGAATTCTTAACGTCTATAAAGGACTGTCTTTCATAGATTGTTGTGAGAACATCTTTATATACATGATGAAAATGAAAAAATCTCATCCTTTTTAGGTGTGGAACAAGAAATAAAAAGAAATGAAATCAAAATATAACTAATAAGAGCATGTGATGGTTAGTGAGGTACAAGAGGAGTAACGACGAGGACATGTATAAAACTATAACCACCCCATTATCCATAAAACAAAACAATTATTCTTCACCTCATGCCCATTAGGCCATTACCTGATCAATGTGACTTTACACATCTTGATCGGGTCGATTCGATGCAAATATTTATCGGATCGATCATAATTGTCATCCCTAGATAGAATGGGACCGGCCCCGTGGCTCAACTATTATCTCATTATTATTTCATTTTAAAGGAAGAATAAAGTATTAATGTATTTTAACTAAAACTTTCAAGGGAAAACTGTCAAATAGGTCCACATATTTTTAACAAAAAGTCAATTGAGTTCATGTACTTTTTTCTGAGACAATCAAGTCCACTAACTATCAAAAAACGACCAAATCAGCTTTTTAGTAGGTAATCAACCGGTTACTCGGTTAAACGCCTACGTGCACGTCCGAGTTGACATTTTTTATTGATTTCAATTTTTATTTTATTTTTGGGAAAACTGTCAAATAGATCCACATACTTTTAACAAAAAGTCAATGGAGTCCATGTACTTTTTTCCGAGTCAATTAAGTCCACCAACTATATGAGATTGGAAAATTTCAAACTAAATGGTCATGTCTTTTACCCATCTACGAGCTTGGCGTGCTCTATATATATTTCGAAACATTTAGATGGATCAATTTTTTAAAGATAACACGTTATTAATTATGGTAATTCAATGTAAAATCACTTATGTAATAAATACTAGGAAGTATAATGATTTAATCTGCTCATTGTCCGTCTTGTATGTGGGGTCTTTATGTTTTTACAAATTAGACATTATACATACTAGACGAAGTACTCGTGCGATGCATGGGGTATCTAGAATAGAATAAAAATTTATTTGAAATTATATTTTATTACGATGATACATGACTTGTATTTTTATCAAATATAAAATGATAATAGATTTTATATGTTGTAGCTTTGGTCATCAAGGAACGAAGTATATAATAGTGGCTATATGAAAATAAATTTTGGCTCATACAAATATTTTGGAACAAAGACCACCATATTAGATAGTTTATAAAGAAATACAAAATAAATATGTATTTATATTACTAAGGTGGATATAATTCATTCATATATTAAAAAAAATGAAAATAAGATATTGAATCTGCATCACTCAAAAAATGAAGAACGTTAATTTATTCATGCAATTGTTGTGGTTTCAATTTTTTTGGCAAAATTGTTGTGGTTTCAGTTAAGTTATAACGATTTACTTTGAAAAACAGTGTGTAATTTCAAAGATATTTAAATTAGGGTTGTAATCTAATTTCACAGTAAAATAGAATTATTCAAATTGGTATGAAAATAATAAATCCATTGGTATGTGTTTATTCAAATTTGATCGTTTTTTGATAGTTGGTGGGCTTACTAGACTTGGAAAAAAAAGTACATGAACTCTATTGACTTTTTGTTAAAAGTACGTGGACCTATTTGACAGTTTTTCCATAAATAAAAAAATTGGAAATTAGTAAAAAATGCCAGTTCGGACGTCCACGTAGGCGTTTAACCGGGTAACCGGTTGATTATCTACTAAAAAACTGATTTGGTCGTTTTTTTGATAGTTGGTGGACTTAATTGACTCGAAAAAAAGTACATGGACTCAATTAAAAGTTTTCCTAACTTTCAATAAATAACAATGAGAGAAGAGGGAAAAACAATAATTCAAGAAGCGAATCGATTTTCATTCTCTACTACTCCTCTAGTCCTCTGCACTGCGAGGAAATACAGTACTATGATGCCGCTGTACCAGCAACAAAAACGATTCTTCTTTGTAGTCTTAAGTTTGACAATCTGGTCGTGTTGGAGACTTGACGGCGCCGTTTCAGACCCCCAGACCACTTATGTGAAATCAGGGTGCAGCTCGTATAACGTCAGCGACGCCTCCGTCTTCACCGGCAACCTCAACGCGACGATGCGAAACATCAGGGCGCAGGTCAGCAACCAGATGAAACACTTCGCGACGGCGTGGGTGGCGAAGAACAACACCCCGGCCTATGTCCTTTTTCAGTGCCGGTATTACCTCTCCATCGCCGACTGTCTCAAATGCTTGGATGTCGCCGCCGTTAAAATATACAACAACTGCTCCGTCAGCGCCACCGGCGCCCGTCTGTTATACCAAGGCTGCTACCTAAGGTACACGATCACTTCACTAAAAAAGAGGCACACGATATGATCACCGATCAGGGCGGTCGAAAGAATTTGGAGGCCCAGACTTAATCAAAGTGTTAATTATCAAAATAGGATTAAAAGTGACGCACTTCGCACAAATAGGACCAAAAACTAAAATATGTTTTCATAAGACTAATTATGTGTCTTGGATAAATATATTCTTCTAGCTATTGAAATGTTTTAATTCATAATAAAATAATAAAAAATAATAAAAAATCGTAAAAATACTAAAAAACTAATAAAAATATTTCGATAATAATAATTAATTAATTATTTTTTTCAAAAAATAAAAAAATAATATTTTTTTTTAAAAAATAAAAAACTCAAAAAAATAAAATAAAATTCACCGCCTCCTCTGCCGCCTCCTCTACCACCTCCAGTCACCGGGAGAAAAAATGTCAAGTTCATTACGAATGCCATATTTATGGCAGAAAATAATGAAAATGTTGGCATTCTCAAAGATAAATATGCCATGTTTTTGGCATTTTCGAAAAAAAATGGCAGTTTTTAAGAAAAATGACATTTTTTCACCGCCCGGAGATGGTGGTGCAGGGAGGTAGTACAGGCGGTGGGAAAGGCATCCATATTTTTTTAATTATTTATGGACTTTTACTATTTTTTATTAATTTTTTTAAAAAAATAAAAAAAATTTAAAAAATTATTTTTTTAATTATTTTTCTACGAAATTTTGATTTTTTTCGAATTTATTATGAATTAAACATTTAATTAACTCATATTTAAAGGAAGGGTAAGAATGGAAGGAAAAAATAGGTATGTTTCCAATAAGACTAATTTGGTCCTATTTTGAAAAGAAACACATAGTAAGTCATGTTTTGAGTTTTTGCCATAGTTTTAGTCCTATTTGGAGTAATTTCTATTAATTAAACCATATACTTATACTCAAATCAATTAAATATTCATTAAAAGTGAACGAACAGAGTATAAGGATCAACAAAAAAATGATGGATTTATATTTTTTTTCTTTACTAGCTAACTACATTTTACTTATTAGAAATAATATTACTATACTCCCTTCGTCTCATTGGACTTTGACAACTTTCCTTTTTTGGTTGTCCCAAAAAACTTTGTCACTTTCATACTAAAGCAACTAATTTGTGGTTCTGCACATTTGTCTCTCCTCTGCACAAATCTCAACCATACAGTTTTTACTATTCTTATTTCCCATCTGCTTTACACTTGACAAAGTCTACCGGGACGGAGGAAGTATAATACTAATAAAATTTTAAAAATCTGGGGCCCTATTCTGGATAAACTATTCAACCCCCTGAAAACGGCTCTATCACCCATCAACAAAAGAATGTGTTCTTTGGATCTACTCTTTAAAACTATTTCTGCTCTTTCGGATAGCAGAATCAGATACTACGTATCGGAATGTTTAGATGAAAGTGCAGAAGTATTTCTGGTATTTTAAATGGTCGTATAAGTAGTTTTTTAGGAGCTAAGGAATACCAACTTCTGAAAAAAGTAGTTCTGATTCTCCATCTGCTTTAAAAACAAGCAGAGACAGAATCAATTTCAAACACCCTCTCTGTGTGGATCATGAACTCTATTTTAATTTAGGTGGTGTTAGAAACAGAATCTGCTTCAGCTTCGTTTCAAAGGCATAAGCAGAATCAAAAACAGATTATTTTTTTTCCTCGATCTTTTAAAAACTGTTTCTAAGTGTCGAAGTCATTCAATATAATTATCATTTTTTTGTACTCCGTATTTGATTATCAAAATGTCGAAGTCAATCAATATAATTATCCTTGAGCTAATTTTTACAAGATCAAAATGCCAAATACGGATGAGCATTGAGCAATAATGAACAACTTTTTGTGGAATTTTTTAGGTATGAAGGCAGTAACTTCTTCTTCGAATCTACGGATGCCGGCAACCACCTTTTCTGCGGGAACCGTGTGGCTCGAAGCTCAAGTGACCTAACATCAACGGTGTCACAAGTGCTTTCAGATTTGGCAACAGTGACACCGAAAATCAATGGTTTCTACGCAGCCACTAAAACGGCAGTGCCTAATAGTAATGGCTTGAATATTTATGCCATCGCCCAGTGCACCGAGACACTCTTTGAGAGTGAGTGCCAGAGCTGCTTGAATGCTGGGTTAACAGGGTTTCAGATTTGTCTTAGCAACTCAAATGCAATAGCCTTTTATGCTGGCTGCTTCATGAGATACTCCACCACTGCTTTTTTTGCTGATAACCAGACCACTGATATCAATCAGTTCTTGAAACAAGGTACTCGTTAGCCGTCACTCTGAATTTCGATATGTTTGTTCAACACATTATTAAGTCATGTATTTGGTGGAAAAATTGATCGATAAAACTGATAAACCAGGGTCACCAAAGGGGCCTTAAATATGTATAACCCCTCAAACAATAAGCATGTGAACTTTAAGATTGATCTACTCAGATGAGTCACCATCTTACAAGGCAAACTAGACTAATAGAGGTCTTAATGTAATAATGTTCTAGAGGTACAATCTACTCCAATAAGTCACAAATGTTACAAGGCAAACTAGACTAATAAAGGAGCTAATGTTCTAGAGGTAAATTAGTTTTTCGTGTGACTTGTAGGAGATTCAAGCAACCATAAAAAGGTCATTATTGGAGGAGTCATTGGAGGGGCATCTCTTGTTCTCGTTCTCCTTGTATTATTTGCTTTATTTAGGCGATCAAAGATTTCAAGGACGGTTCCTAAAGGTAATGTATAAAATTTGAAAACCCTTAGCAATTATTGTTTCTGAAGTGATCTATTCTGATGCTCTTGCAAACTTTTGGCTGTTGGGAGATTCCTAATTTGTTTTTCCTTGCAGGTGATATTTTGGGAGCAACTGAATTGAAAGGCCCAATTAACTATAGGTATAAAGATCTCAAGGCAGCAACAAAAAATTTCAATGAAGAGAATAAAATAGGAGAAGGGGGTTTTGGTGATGTATACAAGGTATAACTTATTAACGTTCATTTGGTATTCTTTTTCACAATATTATTTACATGGGAAGATATCCTCTGACCCCTATGTTTTTGACAAACTGTAAAATGTTTGAAATCATTCATTACTTAGTATGTAGTCGTTACCACATTTCTAGTTGAACTTTGACATAATTCATTCTCATACCAAATTATATTATAACATACTAGATTATAGATAGTACAAAGTTAGATCATACGAGACTTGCATCATATAATATAATATTATACGGAGTACTAGAATATAATTTAGGGGTGTTCATCAGTTCATTTTTGTCGATTTTTCAGTTGGACCGGTTCAGTTTTTGTTGGAAATAAGTGAAGGAAGATTTGGGAAACTAGGAGGCTAAATTAGAAATATTATGGAAGAGATATTTGAACAAAGGGGAAAAACTCTTTTTATTAGAACAACTCAATTTGCTTGATTTGCTTGATACAAAGTGGTGGCAGGGAAGCTGTATTTTAGTACAAAAGTATCTAGAGTCTTCTATAATTAATGCATTCTAGACAATTCTATACAATTAATGACAGGAGAGTTCTAGAGACCCTATCTGAAGCTCTAGAATTTATCTCTTCTACATTTCTCTACTACTTAGGCCTTTCCAACAATAATTTAATACATCTTAATTAAGCCCAAAACAAGTTTAATTTTCATCAGTTTTGAGGAAGGCAAAACAAAAAATGAACAAATTACTTTGTCGATTTCGGTTATGCTAATTTAGATTGGTTTTGCATAACTTTTGGTCAATTTTGAAATGTTCGGCTTGTTTTATTCAGGTTTGGCCTGTTTGGAGTTTTCTAAATGTAAACCATGAATCGAATCACCTGTGAACCGTTAATTTTACTGAGTTCCCATTCGAGTCAGAAACTCCGGACCGGAACCTCCGTGCAGAATTCACCGTTTGAGGTGGTTCCCGGTGAATTTTTTTGATGAAATTGTGTGAGAATGTTCTTCATCAAGTGTAGATTATGCACACAAATTTTCAGCTCAAAATTATACCGATGAGTTTTTTACATTTTTGTTGGTTTGGACTGGGATAATAATTCAAAGGGTTTGCATTCCCATGTAGCCTGATTACTTGGCCTGGTTGATTCTTGATGAGGTTGTGACAACTAATACGGAGTATTAGCTATTAACATAAGCTCTTTGTAATACACAGGGCATTTTGAAAAATGGAAAAATAGTTGCCATTAAGAAACTTGCTGTGGAGAACTCTAAAAAGCTGGAGGAAGATTTTGAAAGTGAGGTGACTCTTATAAGTAATGTTAATCATCGAAATCTTGTTCGACTACTAGGATGTTGTATTAAAGGTCATGAGAGATTTCTTATTTATGAGTACATGAAGAACAACAATGTTGGCCAGTTCCTATTTGGTAAGCACAAATATATATTAATCCCTATGCTCACTTTAATATGTGGATTATTAACCCATTGAGTGTTAAAAATAGGTGAAAAGAAAGGCTCTCTGAACTGGAAGCAAAGATATGATATTATTTTAGGTATAGGAAGAGGTTTGGCATATCTACATGAAGAATTTCATGTTTGCATCATACATAGAGATATAAAAACAAGTAACATCCTCTTGGATGATCATTTTCAACCTAAAATTGCTGATTTCGGGTTGGCAAGACTTCTACCAAGAGACCAATCTCATCTCAGTACAAAATTTGCAGGAACAATGTAAGTATTTTTTGGAACCTTACTTTGTGTGCAATTAGTCAAATTTTATGCATTCTATATATATAAGAAATGCTCGAGATTGTTGTGAAAATTATTAATCAATCTTTCGGAACACGTCTGATTTACAAAATATACTTTTAGTTTTTTCTGATTTCTTCTAAGCATAACCATTTCAATCTAGATTAATATACAGAAAAATTTACTCATACACCCTCATTACTTATAATTGTGTCCATTATTAGTCTTGTAATTTTACTTGCATGCAGATCAAGTCCAATAACTAATAAGTTTTTAATATTGAGTTTTTAACCAGATTGTACTATCTGTAGTAAAAATCTCACTCGAAAAGATGCTTCTGGTATAAAAATCCCCCCGGACAATTATTGGTGGAAAAGTTGTTTAAGTAGATAAATTTAAATTTATTAGTTGTGGAATATTATGTAAGTGAGTACAATTACATTACTAATAATGTGAACAGTTATAAGTTACGAGACTAAATTCATAACTTTATCTAATACTAATACGTAGTACTCTATGTTTTCTGACACATTCCAAATATGACCCATAGAAGTATAAAACATTTTAAGTAGCACCCGAGCTGGTTGAGCTTTCCAAGTTTTGTTATTTCAGTGTTCACATTAGTTTACCAGCATTGTTGGTTCTCATGTCTTATATTGTATTACTTTGATACATTGCACATTAAACACACTATGTGTATACTTTTCAGGGGATACACAGCACCTGAATATGCAATGCATGGACAATTATCAGAGAAAGTCGATACATATTGTTATGGTGTTGTTGTCTTAGAAATCATTAGTGGACAACGAAGTGGTGAAGTAAAAGATGACGATAAAGGCGAGTTCATTCTTCAAAGAGTAAGCATAATCCAAAACCTGATATATTTATTACTCCCTCCGCCCCCTATTATTGTCCCATTTCCTATTCACTTGGTCAACACAAATCACTCTTAATCTCTTATTTTATTTATCAATTTTTTATCAAATTTGATTCTGGTTTTTGCGACTTTGTAAACCTTTTAATGTAGTTTCTTAATATGCAAATTTTATTTCCTAAAAATAATTCTAGTGCGGACAGGGATCTGTTTGCTTTATCGTCAGTCAAGCATCGTAAACCGCAATGGGACAATAACAGGGGGACGGAGGTAGTAGTAAAAGTTTTCAGGAATTGAATAATATAATTATAGTTGTAGCTTGTAATAAGTAAGTTAGTTTGGTTAGAATGAGTGGAATTTTACTCGAACATATCAATCCTGTCTAAGAAGGACTTTAGCTCAAACAGTTCAATCTAAAAAACTCTTCAATCAAGTATTCAAAAAGATTTCCTTCAATACACACATGTAATGAACATCTTCCTTCTCAATGGTCATATTTTTCTTATATTGAAAGATCCTAAACTTTATTAATGATTTTTAAGGGAAATTTGCTAATTTAGTCTCATAACTTAAGATAGACCGTGTTTGTTACTAGTCTTGCAAGTGTACGTCTTTGAAGACCATGTCATGTAATTAATATGTCATGCCACATCGATGACTTTTTCACATGAATGTATCATTTCGGGTAAACATTTCAGTTTTCACCGATAACTATCGGTGGTATGTAAAACCAGAAATAGTATATTCCGCTGAAAAAAATCTTAACGTGGACAGGTTTTTTAGGGACATGATATGATTCTTTTGTGTGAAATTTCATGACAACATTTCTACAATCATATATTATCGGAAAAAGATCTCTAGTTTTATTAGTTAAAGTACTTTAATATCTTAGGATTATTTTTGGATTTCACATTGATATATCACTTTGACATCACTTTGACTTCACTTTGCAGGCATGGAAATTGTATCAGAGCGGGATGCACAAAGAGTTTATTGATAAAACCTTAGATAGAAATGTATATGATGTCGAAGAAGTAAGTAAAATAATTGAGATTGGATTACTTTGCACGCAAGAGTCTGCTACATTAAGGCCCAAAATGTCTGAAGTTGTTGATATGATTGAGACCAAGAGCTTAATGGACATGGAGCCCACTATGCCTAGCTATGTTGATCCTAATTTGATTGTGAGGCCCAAAACAGACACATCTGTGTGCAATACTCCATCAAATGCTACTGCCTCAATTTCTACCTTATCAGGAAGGTGATTTGGTAGTGTCATTTGGACTCGTATCATTCGTATGTATTTGAACTTAATGAAGGGATCTATAAAAACTTTCCTAGCAAAATTCTTGTTCTCTGATAATGATGATAACAATGAGGAATGATATAAGATAAGAGTCGTTCTTGATTACAATGATGAACAACTAATATACAATGGAAGCTCACAGGCTCGATAGTTTATGAGAATAATCTTTGACTTTTGGTTTTCAGCTAAAATAAAGCTTTGTGTCTTGAAGTATATGTATGCAGTCCTCTCTCAATCTCTACAAGACACGAAGATTGAGAAATTAAATCATATTGCTGAAATTTATTGAGGGAAAGAAATATCATGAGGCACATAAAAATAAATATACTTGATTAAGATTAAACAAGGGTGAGATAAACTAAAGATAAAAGTGGGTGAACTGTGTAGTGACAAAGGAAGTGTTACGTTGTGTGTACTCTATGTGTGTATATATATGCATATGTTGTTATAAAAAATAGTATTAATAAATGCGAGTTTAGTCAGATAAAATCCTGAATTTAATCACAAATCACCAGACAAACCACCAATTGCAAGAACAAATAAAAAAGAAACAATAATTAGAAATAAATTATTAATATAAAAAGTAGAGAAAGAAAGACTTAGCGTAAGATCGTCCGTTAACCAGACTGGCCTTGAAGAAAGATAGATCCCGTATCTCGATAGCTACTCGAACGGGACTGGCCAACTCGCTCCAAGGATAATCCTACACCTATTCCGATCCTTTAGCTTGCTTGACAGAAACACTTCGACCGTTGCCCGATTGCCAATTAATAGAGATGAGCTGGGAAATAAATGAAGTATGAACTATGGAAGTTTATGACTTTTCTCTCGGAAAAGAATTAAACTCTTGTGAAGAGAAAAGATGAAATGAACTGATGAAGACCAACTCTTTTGATTGCAAGTCTTACATAATACAAATGAATGAAACTAGCAAGTGAATAGTTTGTGCGTGAGAGGAATATGCATGCAACGGACTGTTTTTATTTGGAAATGAGATAAGTATACATATAACAAAATAATTGGTCAAAAAGTTTAATGCTCCTATAATATTGCCGCCAATGATCCATGATGACCGGATCATAACTAACTAAGTATGATCAAGCCATCAAGGCACTTTTAATTTTTGAATTTTTAAAAATTTAAAGTGCACGTACATGTTAAACTTGGTGAGCAATATTACCAATGCACTTAAAAATAAATGGCTTCAGAATTTGTCCCAAAAAAATAAATGGCTTTTTATTTGAAATATTTGTGCGTTGGCCCGTCGTTTTGTTTGGTCCGAGCAAGTGAATGAGCTCATGTACAATAATATTTCAAGTCACCTTATATGATACTTAAACATTGTTCCTTATCATATAATAATAAAACCGCCATTTATTTTAAATATTGGACAATAAATTCATCAACCTAATACATTACATTTACAACTTTCACAACCATGGATTCTAGTCATTAAATGAAATAGATCCGAACATGGAAGTTGTTCTTTAATGTATAGTGAGCCACACCCAATTCATATATTATACCATTATTTATTTCATCATATTTCGAACATATGTTAGTGCATTTATCTATATGTAGATACACGCACACAACAAATAATGCTAAAATCACATTCATTATTATTAGTAAGATGAAGAAATTGATGTGAATCACACAAATTGTCTAAAAAGGAAAAGTGAAAATATTTTTTGCAATGATCTAAAAAGGAAAGTGAGAAATATTTTTTGGGTATTTTTTGGGAAGGAGAGAAGAGTAGCAATTTTTGTAAGGGTCAACGGAAAAAGTATTGAAACTTTTGTGAAAGGGAATAATTTACTCCATAGTAAAATGTACACACCTGAGATCATAATTATGATTGACTTCTGCCTTCTACTTGCATGTGGTGGCTCCACTAGACTACAAGTGCCAACCTTTGTCTTGCATGTTCAGAAAAATCACACGGTAGTAATGGTTGAAAAAGTAGAAACATCGTCCATTAGTCACGAGACACATAATTGTTTTTTCTTCAATAAATATGGTTTGTCACGTTTTGCATTAATAATTAATTTCTGGAGTTTCCTATGGTTGGTTTGACTTGTTGTTGAGCAGAAATTAGATAAGATGTAACAAAGCATTTGTCAAACCCCACTCCTTCTTCTTCTTCCTCTAGCCAACATGGCTACAGTCTGCAAAATCTCCATTTTCATCTCATTGTATCTTGTTCTGATTTGTGCTTCACCAGAAGCGGATATTCTCCTCACATTCAAGAACTCCATTAACGATCCCAATAGTTCCCTCAGGGACTGGTCAAACACCACATCTCTCCATCACTGTAACTGGACTGGTGTCACTTGCTTACCTCAACCTACCATATCAATCTCATCTCTGAATCTCGAAAGCTTGAATCTTTCTGGCAAAATCTCACCGTCCATTTGTCAGCTTCCCAACCTTACCCATCTCAACCTAGCTCACAATTTCTTCGACCAACCCATTCCTCCTTACCTCTCACAGTGTGGGTCCCTGGAGAATCTGAACCTCAGCAGCAATCTCATTCCGGGAAAAATCCCTGACCAGGTTTTCCATCTTGCCGGGTCTTTGCAGTTTCTTGATTTTGGGAAGAACCGTCTGGAAGGGGAAATCCCGGAAGTAATTGGCTTACTGAAGAAGCTCCGAGTTCTCAATCTGTGTGGCAACTTGTTTTCAGGTAATATCCCGAGGGTTTTTAGTAATTTGACTGAGCTTGTGATTCTTGATTTGTCTCAAAATCCATTCCTGGTCAGTGAGGTTCCCGGAGAAATTGGAAAGCTCAGTAAACTTGAGAAGCTTTTCTTGAAAAGCTCCGGGCTTTATGGAGAAATAGTGCCAAATTTCTTTGAGGGTTTAGAAAGTATGGCCATTTTAGACATCTCACAGAACAATCTCACTGGTAAGATACCAGAGATTGGAGTAAAGTCTCTCCCAAACCTGGTCTCTTTTGATGTTTCACAGAATAAGCTTTCTGGACCATTCCCCGTTGCCATTTGTAAGGGTAACAAAGGACTTCTTCAAAACCTTGCTTTACATACCAATTTCTTGAATGGTTGGATATTGAATGACTCCATTGATGAATGTGTAAACCTTGAGAGGTTCCAAGTTCAGAACAATGGGTTTACTGGGAATTTCCCTCCATGGCTATGGTCATTGCCTAAAATCAAAACCATAAGAGCAGAAAACAACAATTTTTCTGGGGATATTCCCGATTCGATATCAAAAGCTTCTCATTTGGAGCATGTAGAGATTGACAACAACAGCTTCACTAGTACAATACCGGATGGACTTGGAAAGATTACAAGCCTGTATAGATTTTCTGCATCCATGAACAGTTTATATGGTGAACTCCCTCCAAACTTTTGTGATTCTGAGGTTATGAGCATCATAAATTTATCCTACAATTATCTTTCAGGTGAAATTCCCGAGATAAAGAATTGCATGAAATTAGTGTCATTGTCTCTATCTCATAACAGGTTTGTTGGTGAAATACCAACATCTCTTGGCAAACTGCCTGTCTTGACTTACCTTGATCTTTCAGTCAATAACCTCACTGGTTCTATTCCAGAAGAGCTTCAGAATTTGAAACTTGCTTTGTTCAACGTTTCCTTCAACAGACTTTCGGGAAAAGTCCCTCTGTCTTTGATCTCTGGCCCACCTGTTTCGTCTTTGAAGGGAAACCCTGGCCTTTGTGGGCCTGGACTCCCCGTCTCTTGTTTCAATGACACACATATTATTCACAGGCATGGTAAGATGTCAAGATTGCCTTTCATGCTTGTTTCAATAGTTTTAGCTGTTGTAATCATCACCTTTCTTGGATTTTATACAATTCGCTGTTCTCAGAAAAATAATTCCCAAAATGGTATATGGAAGTCTGTATTCTTTTATCCTCTGAGAGTTACTGAACATGATCTGGCCATGTCAATGGATGAAAAGGCTGCTAGAGGAAACAGTTGTGGGACTTTTGGAAGAACCTACATTGTGAAATTACCTAGTGGTGAGGCAGTCGCTGTAAAGAAGCTGGTAAATTTTGGAAACCAGTCTTTAAGAGCAGAGGTAAAGACTTTAGCAAAGATCAGGCATAGGAATATAACAAAAATATTAGGGTTTTGCCAGTCGAGTGATTCAATCTTCTTAATATATGAATGTATGGCAAATGGAAGCCTTGGGGATGTAATTGGGAAGTCTAACTTTGAGTTGACATGGAGGGTCAGGCTGCAAATTGCCCTCGGAGCTGCACAAGGATTGGCATACATTCACAAGGATTATTCTCCGCATTTGCTCCACAGAAATATCAAATCACAAAATATTCTCCTCGATGCGGATTTTGAGCCAAAGCTTACAGACTTCGCTCTTGACCGGGTCGTTGGAGAGACAGAATTTCAATTATCCATAGTTTCAAAAGCTGCTACTTCTTGCTACTTGGCACCAGGTATTTTATTTTTTGGGTTTCTGGTTGTGATTACTTTAGATCTCCTTTTGATGGTCTTTTATTAAAAGCAGTTTAAGATGAATATACAACGTGTTTTTTAATACCTAAAAACATAAAAGTGATCCCAAAAGCACTTGTGGAAGTACATGTAACATAGTGTTTGCATTTGCTTGAGTTGTAATTTGAAACGTGATTTATTTTAAAGATCATAACCGCTTAATTGCGAACGTTAGTAATCTTTGAAAATAAGTGGCTTAAAAAGTTGAAGTTGGAGTATTTTAAAAAAAATGGTATACCACGTATTAGTCAAGTAAAATAGTTTAGAAAAGTAAAAAAAAAACAATTTTAAGCACTTCTCCTCTTGCTTTGCTTTTAACTTTAATGTGCTTAAAACTAAGCAGAATTACCTATTCAAAATACTACTTTTAGTTTTCTAAGCTAAAATTACAGAAGCGTCTCTCTCAAAAGCACCTTCATAATAAACATTACCCAACATCAACTTTACCTGTGCACGGGCTTGTTGATCCAAAAGCAGAATTTTTTGTGAAAATCAAATAACTAATTTATTATTAAAAGATAGCAACAATACACCCAAAGCAGATTTAAAGTGAAAGAGCTGATTTATATGGGTGCAGAAAGTAACAGCCGTACTCTTTATTACCTTTCATTGATGGGGGTTATTTTTATTGTAGAATTTGGTTACACGAAGAAGGCCACGGAACAAATGGACACATACAGCTTTGGTGTGGTATTGCTAGAGCTTGTGACAGGAAGGAAAGCAGATCAAATGTGGGAGGAGTCTCTAGATGTGGTGAAGTGGGTAAGAAGGAAAATCAACATCACAGATGGGGCAGCTCAATTGCTTGACCCCAAGATTTCAGACCCATCCCAACAGCAACAAATGGTGGAAGTTCTGGAGATTGCTTTGTGTTGTGTGGCTGTCATTCCTGAGAAACGACCATCCATGGCCGATGTTGTCAAGGCACTTCGCTCCCTCTCTCTTAAAGATGAAAACACAAATCTTGAAATGTCGGATTGTGTTATTCATACTTCAGTTCCTCCCTGAAGTATTTTGGTTTTTCCTTTTTCTTTCTTTTTGTACATTCTACTCACCAAACTTGCAACATAAATGAACCCCTTGTGGATCATTATCACATGAAGGAGTTTTGTGGCCGATAGCTTTCAAGTTCAATGCTAATGTTAGATTGATTGTTACTTGTTATCTATGCTTGGGATGGCAAGCTAAAAACAGAAAAGTTTTGAGCTTGTTTTGGTAAGGTATAAAATGGCTGCTCTGCACCAATCTACCGAAATTGTGACATAATTGGCCCATTTTGTTGAATTATTTATTTGATACAAGGAGTATTATACTTTTTCCATCCATTAAAGAATTTCATGTTGTTCTTTTGTGGTTCAATGACATCACCTGACACTCTCAAAAAGGAGGACATAGGTCAAAATTATCTTAATTTAAGGTGTTCTGGTGTTGGAATTTAACAAAGAACAAATGTTATAATAGAAGTGTGAGCACAACCAAGAATATAAAAACTTGTTTGTGCACCAATAGACTTTCAATCCCTTGTTTCTTGCTAGAATCCATAACGATTTCAACTCTCCTTTGTCACATATCAAAACTCTTCGGCAGTTATTTATGCATATATATGTATTTGACGTAAGCTTTTTTCCTTCATCTTTCTTACTTGTCCTTTCCTTCTTCTATCTCTTTTATGTATTTGGTACCCCTTTTGCTCCTCTACTTTTACTGCTCCCATCTCAAAGATAGTTTAAACTCAGCAGAACCTTTTCTGGTGCGATAGTGTAAGATCAAGGCGGCCCTTGGGTAGATATGAACTCGAGCCGGGTCAACCGGACCGAAACCGGTCCGGCCCGGTACTGTTACGAACCGGCCCGACCTGCGGCCCGGGTCCGGGCCGGGTGCACTATACCCGAACTGCAATTTTTCGAGGCGGGCTCCGGGTCTCCGTAAAATTAACCGGCCCGGCCGGGCCGAACCCGGTCCGGGCCTCCAACAGCCATATTTTAAAAAAAATTGTAATAAAATGCTCCTCCTAGCCGTTGGGAACACTCCCAAAAGGCTCTATAGCTGTTGGAGGGCTTGGAGAGAGGGTCCGGGGGTGGAGTATAAAAAACTATAAATACTCCTATTTTCTAAACATTTTTCTTCACATCTTCTCCAACTCTTCCTACTCTCTATTCTCTAATACTCTTAATCATCTCCATCTTCATCTTCTCCAATTCTCTCTACATATATTTATACAATTATTATATCTTCTTATATATTAATTATCTATTTATAAATACATATATTATATTACTAAAATTTATTATCTACTTAATATATACTTATTATCTACTTAATATATACTTTATTGTCTACATATATTTGGGAAAATGTATAGATTGCTATTGATAGAGTATATCTAGAGAGAGGTGAGAGCTAGAGAGAGAAGTGCAATAATATGCTTCAATACAATGAATTTGTAACCCCGATAACTACTTCCAGAGGAAGTATTTATAGGGAAAATACGGGCTGGGCTCCCAAGCTTTGGGCTTGGGAGGCCCATTTACAACTGGACCGCTACTGGGCCGAATACAAAGCCACTAATGGGCTGTACAAATGAGTAAGTGTAAAATCCGGTTCTGTGAGGTCTTCGTGGCCGACGAGGGCGCGGCCGACGAGGGCACCCGGGTTCCTTGGATCCAGGACCATATTCTGAGTTGGCACCTTTTCGGCCGACGGGGTCCCTTGGCCGACGAGGTCCCTTGGCCGACGAGGGCACCACTCAGTGTCTTGTGCTTTCTGTTCTTCTGAGTATGTGGGTCCGGGGGCTCAGACCCATATACTCCATCAGGAGTCCACCACTCTCTAAGCTGAGACGTAGACGAAGTGAAGGAGAGTAGATTCCCGCGCTTTGGTGCTTTTGGCCGATGCGGGCACTCCCAGGCCGTTAGCTGTTGCGGTGTTGGCGCTGTCTCCATTTCGGTGATCTTGTTCCGTGCTTTGGCCGTTACCTGCTCCTCGTTGTGGACGGGGGGCCGTTGTTTCCTTGGTGTGTTCGTTTGGGGACGATGAGTGTCCTGCTTCGATGGTGGCCGTTGAAGGCGCGTTTTCCCTTTCTTGGACGTTGATGGTTGAGATTTACATTTGGGCCGATGAGGCCGTTGAGGTTGAACCTTGCTTCGAGGGCGATGGCGTCCTTTCCTTTGGGTGGCCGATGAGGGTGCTTGCGTACTCCCTTTTGCCGTCGCTGATTGGCTTTCGTGTCCTTGGCCGGAGAGCCCATTATGATTAACTGTTGGCGGAGGACGATGAATGTCCTTGCCTTAGGTGGCCTGTTGGCCGTTGTTGATGGTGTTATGTACCTTTGGCCGACGAGGCTCCATGTGATATATGGACGGTGTGGCCATGCTTTGTGGTTACATTTGTGTTTGCATTTTTCCTTTCTGTTTTGTTGAGGCCGGTGTAGTCCCCCAGTCCCCCACTGCTTCAGGCCGAAGAGAGTGAGGGGTGAAGGAGTTGCTTGAGTCCCTGGCCGAAGCGGCCTCTCCGTAGTGCCCCTGAATCCAACCCTTATGGCGATTTTGTGGCCAAGGTAACCCTGTGGGAGAACCCTTGTGCGCAGATCGCTTGTAAAGAGTTATCATCAAGGGTCGTGACGAAGAGTCGATGGCTGCAGGTTCTTTGTTCCTTTGGTCCTGTGGCCGTTACCGGCGTTCATGATGTTCCTGGTCGTTGTCGTCTCCTTATTGCTGGCATTTGTGAAGCCGGCAAGCGTATAGGCCGTTGTGGGCGCTTTGCTGGCATTTGTGAAGCCGACAAGCATATAGGCCGTTGTGGGCGCTCGTTGTCCGTGTGATCCGTAGGCTTTTACTCCGCCGATAAGTTGGTTCACGAGCCCGGCCCATTTCTGAAGGGGTGGCACCTCATCGGCTGCTGGGAAGGTGATCGCTGAGGTGGCCATTGATATGGTGCCACGTGTAGTGACCGTTGGAGATTGTCTATAAATACCCCCCCTCCTCCGAAGCGGTTCCTTACTTGCATTCTTGAGATATCGAAGTGCTGCCCGAATTTCTAGAGAGAGAGAGTCTTCAAGGTGTTCTTCGAGTTCTTCATACCTTCAAGGTTAGTTCTTGACTTGTTCTTCAATTCCTTTGCATACTTTGCTTCCCTGAGCCTTGATCTAGTGTTAGTGGACAAAACGCCTTAGATCCGAAGTAATTCCCCTTAGGCTCGTAATAGTTGTTATGATGAAGAGCTTAGACGAGGAATACTATCCGTACGACGACCAGCCCTCCACTAGGTCCCTCGACTATGAGGTGCTTGAGGAGTTCGAGGAAGAGATAGAGCGTTTAAGTCCTTACAAGTCCGGAGAGCCAATGGACGACGAAGGTGAGGACGAGGAGTCCGCCTCGTCTTCAAAAGGTGAGGACGCGGGTGCGTCCCGAGTGGTGGACGGGGCGTCCACTTCCGCTGCTATTCCGTGCCCGAGACCGGTGTTTGCCGTGAAGGGAGCAGAGAAGCCGAAGAGAGTAAGGAGGCCGAAGAGTGGGCCAGGCGTCTCCTACCTGGATCTCACAAATATTTACCTGATCAAGCCGGAGAGCAGCGCGGCTGACTACTTAGTTGCCCAAATGTACGTGGGGCCGTTCGGGAGGGTTAGGGCACCCAGGCCGACGGACCATGTACTCAATCCGCCACCGGGGTACTTCGGAGTATACCCGATGAGTTTCGCCAAGGGGCTGAGGTTTCCCCTTCATCCCTTCATCACTGAATATCTAGACATGGTGGGACTCCCTCCGGCCTTGCTGACCCCGAACAGCTACTCGTTGATGGTGGGGTTCTTGCTCCGGTGTGAGGAGTTGGGCTACAGGTCGACGACAGCTCTGTTCATGAATCTTTATCAGATTGGCCGAGGAAGCCACAAGAACTGTGCGGCCTATGCTACTCTCCAACAGTTGCCGAAGAAGAGGAGCTTCACGGACTTGCCTTCGTCCATCCATGGATGGAAGAGCAAGTTCGTTTTTGTGTCCCTTGGTGAGAACGGCACTGAATTTCCCTCTCTCGGCCACACTGGGAGGTTCAATCTGCACGACCCGCCGAGGAGTTCGATCTTGGACGCTCAGGTGGAGGCGTTCTTGGAAGGGGGGCCGAGGAGCGTGAAAGACTACATCACCGAGTATAAGATGACCGCCCTCGGGTTCTTTAGGTATTATGTGTATGGTGACAAGGAGGACGATGTCCAACTGTGGCCGAGGATGACCACTACATTTGAGGAGGCCGACGGCCCGGATTTGGGCATTCCTGCTGAGGCCGATGGTAATACTTCCTCCGGCTTTCCTCCTTTGTTTTTGTTTCTTCATTTTGCTAACCTGTTTATTTTCCTTTGTGTAGACTTTGTGATGGATCGCCGTTCGATCATGGCCATAGCCAAGGCCAAGGCGGCCGAGGAGCTGGCTGCGAAGGCGGCCGAGGCGGCGAGGCGTGCCGCGGCCGATGGAGGCGGTGCTGCTGCTGGTGCGGGTCCGAAGCCTGCTCAGTCAAAGAAGAAACGGCCTCCCACTGACGGCCAGAAGAAGCTGACCGAGGTTGGTCTTAATCTTGCCAAGAAGACGAAGAGGGGGCCGTCTCCTTCCCAAATGTGGACGATGGTGGTTCCGTTGTGGATCTTACCGCCGCTCCAAGCGACGCTGCCCAATCGCTCCCTCTCGTCCAGGAGCCTCGGACGAAGCGGGCCGACAAGGAGATTGCCGCTGCCACCTACCAGAAAATGGTGGAGTACCCCGTTGGCGGGGGTGTCTTTGACGATGGCGTCCTCGGCCATGACGTGCTTGCCCAGGCCATGCCGGCCAAAGATCGGGCCTACCTCAAGAGGCTCGGGGTCGTCAAGGTGTACGAAGGCGGGATGGACCTCATCGTCCAAGTAAGTTCCCTTTCCTTTTATTTGTTGTTTTTCTCGTCGCCCGGGTGAAGTCATTGCCTGAGTCTTTGTTTGCCTTTGTTGTGCAGGGTGCCTTCATGCTCATGGAGAGCCACAAAAGGCAGCAACGGGAGATTGCCCGTCTGAAGGAGCTCGAGCAAAAGGCTGCCTCGGCCGATGAGGCGGTGGCCTGCTTGGATCGGCTCCGAGAGGATGCGAAGGCTCTGCAAAAGAGGGCCGATGAGGCAACTGCAGCCAGGGACGATGCCCTGGACAAACTTGGGGAGAGCCAGAGGGCGCAAGAATGATGAAGCCGTGAAGGCCAAAATTGAGGCCGAGGCTGCCGCTGTGAAGGCCGCTGATGAGGCCGTTCAAAAGTTCCTGGCCGAGGGATGGAAGGCCGACGAGCGCCTCCCCTGGTGCTATGAAGTGGTGGCCGC